ATCGGGGAAGTCAGTGGGAGGGTATTTCTGATTGATGGTATTTGGGTAGTGCAAGAGAGAGAAGGCCTCCCTGGAGTGGTGCTGGGGATGGTTATCATGGCAGCTTTGAGGGTCAATTAGCTGATACAACAACCACCACGGTCTTTTACAATGTACTCTAAAGCCACGAGTATTTGAAGTTGGCGTAGGTGAGGAATTTTTGCCTCTGTCAGCATTGTTTGTGTGGTCCATCATGATCTGAGATCATGCACTTTTACTTTTCGCTGTTTAGCTGTGTGCTCTCCCTTTCCCGGCGGTGGGGAGTGCTCTGACCTGCTGGGTTTTGCTTTGCAGCCAGCGTTACCTTTTAAGGGCACTGTGCAGGAAACCGTGGCTGGGGGAGGCTGCGGGGAAGCGCTGCTTCTGTCCTGTGACTCCCGTTGGGGCTGAGGTTCTTAAAGACACTAAATCTGTAATCGGATGTCTGTAGAAGGAGGAGGAAATGTCATGATTAATTAATTGGAGGTCCTGAGAAAAGCGTGAGCTTTCTCAGAAGTCTTGGATGCTGTTCTGGGAGATGACAGCAGGTGGCAATCTCTCCCTAGAAATGCTGGGGACGAGTTCGGTGCCTGCGGGTTTTTCTCAGGCAGCCACAAGAGGCGGCTACAGGAGGGGTTTTTCATGCTTTTAGCATCGTGAGTCCTGTCCTGGTTACAGACATGCACGGTGTATAGAAGGATTGCTTCTATATGAGTAAGGCTCAAATCAGGCTGCTTTTTTCCCCTTCCAAACTCAGAGCCCGCTGATTTCAGGAGGAGGTGCTGCTGCGTCCTGGCAGAACCTCAGCTGCAGTGGGGGTGGGCTGATAGGAGGTGCTTAAGAGATGGTGTGATGCTGTGATCTTGGCTTCTCATGCATTTCCCGTGGGCCTTCTGAGGTCTGTTGGCCTTAAGCACTGGGGACACAGTGTACCTGTTCAATACCTGTGAAGAGTGCTTTTGCAGTTGTTCTGTTGGTATTGAGCCACTCTGGTGCCTTGTTTGCTTTCCTATTTCTGGGTGAGTTACCACAGGCAAGACGCTTCACTTTCTGCCTTGACTTAAGTTTGTGAAAAGGGAACAGTAGTGTCGACTTTCTTATGCAAAATGCTCTATTGTGGCTTGTCTTTGCGTGTTAAATGAAAATTGTGCCAGCCATGCCGTCAGTCCAGCACAGAGGGTAAGGAGTTAGGAGCTTGTACCGTTCACCTGGCGAAGTTTGTGATGGTTGCACTTTTCATTGATTCCCTACCAGTTAATTTACTGGAGGGAAGAGGTCTCTTGGCTATTGTCTAATAACCTTCGCAGAGGAGCTCCCCTTCCAAAAGCCAAGAAGCAGTGAGACCTGTATGTATAGCCCTCTCCCACGACTGATGGGTTGTAACTGGAGGAGGAAGAGGCAGGACAGGGAAGGATGGTGCCCACTGTCCTGTGCCCCACGTCAGTGGAGTCAGGCAGTGCTTTGTGCAGTAGGCTGTTGCTGGCAGGTTCACCTGACTCCTCCTGGGGGTGCTCTCATTAAAGAGTGGAGACCCAGACAGTGCTCCTGCACTAGTACGGGAGGCAGAGGAGTACTAGAACTTCTTGGCAGAGAGAATGTGACGGAGCCCTAACGAGTACTCTGCAAAGTGCATGCTGGAAGATAGGAGAGTAAGCTTTAGAGGTCTGTTATGGTGATGAGGAGGAGATGACATTTCCACCTCCGTTCCTGGGCTGTGTGAGGAAATAGTTGCACTTGTCTTATTGTACAGGAGTTCTGTTCAGATTGCTCTGGGCCTCAGCTAAGTTGGGATAAGGTTAATGCGGGGATAACAATAGGCACTTTGAGCTTGGGGAGACACTAGTGCAGGCTAATGCTAAAAAGCATTACATTCAAATCAAACAGCATGTCCTGGTAGTGCCTGGGGGAGAGCGAGGATGTCCTTAGCTTCTGGCTGGTGGTGGAGAAGAAACCCTAAAAAGAGCATGGAGTTATTAGCCAGGAGGTCTAAGCCACAGAAGCAGTGCTGACCCGATTCCCTTGGTGTGGCCTCAGGAGGCCATAGCTTTGTATAAACCACAAGATGGCAGAAGGCTTTTTCAAAACTGGTTGGTTTGAGGTTTTTTGAATGGTGTGGCCAGACAGTGGGCTGGCCACACAGCAAGGTGCCTTTGTGAGCTTGGTTACAAATAAACATCTGTACTCTGGCCTGAGCAAGGCCAGACTCTGGAGCACTGGCATGTGTAGCCCTGCGTCTGAAGCGTGATACAGAGTGCAGTTTAACTGTCAGCCCGGCTAACGCAGACAGCGTTAAGTAACTGGGAGAGGTTAATCGCAGTGAGCTGGCAAGATGCAGGGTGTTTTGCTGTGCTGCCTGCTGACAGTTCTACTTTACTCAGCATGATGTCATCTGAGCGCATAGTTAGCAGCTCTGTTTAGCTGGAGTTAAAAGACCGCACCGCAGCCAGGCTCGAAAGGTTTAGGAACTGCTCATGGGAGTGACCCCGCCAGCCCATGGGTGGTGTGTCCACACATCGTTTGTTGCTGACATGCCTAGAAGGCCTGGGCATAGTCTGGGATGGAGGGGTGCTGGGTGCTTTCTCCTCAGCAAGAGTGGGATCCTACAGGGAAAAATAAATTATATTTATATTCAGTTTTGCAACCTTCTGGCTGCCTGCTGTTATTTGACGTTCAATTATCCCGCTACGTTATTGCCCGACTCATCTCTCTCCAGTCACGTGGGGAAGCTGTGTTCCAGTTTTACAGGTGTCAGTTGATCTATCCAGAGTAAATATAAAGAACTGTTGTCAGAGCTGAGATTGAAACCCCGTAGTTACTTCTGGATTGCTGCTTCTCACGTTCTACCATTTACAAACTCCAGCAGAAAGTCAAATGATTTTTTTCATTTCGCTTCTCAGATGAGCAAGAACAAAGTACATGAATGGAACTGGCGCATAGTAGCATTGCACTTTGTTTGCTGTTGCCACGTCGCTTTTCTGCTTGGAATTTAGTCTGCTCTGAGATTCGTTCTGCTCCCTTTTTGCCTTTTGACGTCAGCTTGTTCAGAGAGAGCAACTACTGCTTTGCAAATACATTTGTTTAAATTAATTTCTGCAGCTGATTTAAACCAGCTCGGACTGAAGCCCTGAGTACGTTGTCTAATTTAGGCCCCCTTGCTTTTACTGAAACTCCCCTCTAATCGAGATATGTGAAAGAAAGTGTGGGATCAAACAGCTGGGATTGTTTGGATTTTTTCATGGATTCTAAAATGCCCTAGTTCATTCCCGTGAAACTGTATTCACTAGCTCGGGAAGTAACAAGTAACTTCTCTCTATCGAGAGCAATTTGTTCGCATGGTACCTTCATAAGGGGGATATTTTGTTACTGATATGATGATTTTTATGTTGACTTTATCTGGCTGCTCTAACCACTGTGTGAAATTTCTTCTAGAGCGTAGAAAATGAAGCTAAAGGAAATTGAGCGAACAGCTGTCCAGGCGTGGAGTCCAGCAAACAACCACCCCATTTATCTAGCAACAGGTAAAGTTCTTTACAATTTGTGAAAACTAAAGTGTGAGTCACAGGGAGATTCTATGTAGAGTTGTATTGGCTTTAACTTTCAACAGTTCCCACCTTAATAATCTCTGGAAAACTTCCAAGCCATATACAGAGAACATTACAGCCTTAATTTCTATGGAAGTGAGCTGTAGAGGGTTATTTGTATGCCCAGCTTTGGCACCTTAAAGACCAGTGATTTTTTTTCAAAGGGTGAATGCGTGGCTTTTTTTCATCTAACTTCTAATTAAGTATGTATGAATTCCAACACCTGCTTGCTATAAAAATTAAAGCAAAAGAAGGTTACTTGGTATGTCTGTGGAAAAAAAAGTTCATTCTAATCGTGTTCATGTAAGCTTACTTTTACTTTGTTGGTCTTCAGACATTATCATATGGTTTGACAATCAAATAACAAATCTTTTCTCCCTGAAGTTGCATGTTTCAGTTATCACTGAATTTTCCATATTTCTGCAAAACCTTAACTTTGCATTTTGTTGATATTATTCATTATTCACTATTGGTATAATGATTTTATTTTCTGAAGCACAAAGTCAGCCTGTTCACTGAGTTGGCAGTGGGTGAGCTTAGTGTTTGTGTGGAACCGACAGCTTGGGTTCTCTGCCCAACATCAAAACTAGTCACCTCTGTCTCCTGCCTGGGTTCTGCAGCACTGCCATGTTGTTTTGCTTTTTTTGGGGAAGGGTGACTATTAAAAGAAAGTTACAAAAAGTTCGGCTGTTGCCTTAAAAGCAGCATTACCATTTTCGGGTAGATAAGTCTATTTTGTGTTTCTCTAATAGGGACAGATTTTTGGTTGGACCAGAGGTCTTGGCTTCAGTTTGCTTTAGATCAGAAACTACATAGTTTCATAATTTCTACTGCTTTTTTAATAGTCTCTTGGGCACTTTCAATGCCATAGGCAGTTACAAAGCACCTCTGTGGTAACTGGGTGACTGTTTGTCTGGGAGTGTCCCATTAGGCAATATTAAATCTATTTTTAGCTTTATTCTGTAAGCTAGGAGAAAGGAAGGAAGGAAGCCACTGTGTGACTGCTAGCTGTCCATGGGTAATTGGGGAACATTTAGTTGGCTAAGGTTGAAGAACTTTTGCTGTAGACCAGCTTTAGAAGGTTTGATCAAGACATACGGTCATGGTTGAGGAGCAGTATAGAGAAATATCTGGGATCATACTTGGAGCACGGTTTCACAGTGTGACTGCATTTGTAATTTAGATAAGGACTTTATATCAGAAGCTGTGGCTGCTTGGAAGAGGGTGTATGGATTATATTTATCCCAAGAGAGAAAGGTATTTGTGCAGCAGTGACCATGGTGCCCAGAATTTCTTGGAGAGGTTCAAATTTCTTTCTTTCAAAGTCTTTGTTGTAACTGTTGGTTCCTCTTTCTGCTGTACTCAAACATGTCCTCTCCTTCAATGGGCACAACCAAGGTCGTGTTGACTATCAAGAACAGGTTTCCAGTGCGTTGCTTTTTTTGTATCTTGTGCTTTTAAAATAGTGCCCACTTGTTCTGCCTTTGTACTTCTGCTAGGAACGTCTGCCCAGCAACTGGATGCATCCTTCAGTACAAATGCCACCTTGGAAATATTTGAGGTTGACTTCAGGGATCCCTCCCTGGACATGAAGCAGAAAGGAACACTTCCTGCCTCAAACAGGTACAAGAGACTCGTACTGAAGTATCAATCAGTGGAAGTGAAAAGGGTTTTTCTGGTACAAGGAAGAAGAGGAGGAGATAATATTTCGGGGGTATAAAGTGATCTTTTGGATCAGTTGACCTCTGTCTTGAAGAATTTAACATTTTTGTTGACACGAATCATGTTGTGTGTAAAAGTACAGCAGCTGGACCATTGTAGAAGTCTGAAAGGACTTATACGGTAGTCAGTCAGGAGAGTCATTCTGTATCGTGTGAATTTTCTGGGGATAATGATTTTTAGTAAAGAGACCAGAGGCAGAGTGAAACTTGTCTTCCAGCTTTTTAAGACAAGGTGATTTCTTAGGCTCATCAGCATGGATGACGTTTGCACCCAGTGTAAAACACAGCCTTAATTTGTAACTAGCAGCTTTTGCAGTGGGTAAATATATTTTTTTGGATAATAGCTCTGCAAAAGAAGGCACATAGTCCTGTAATCTAATTTTCTATATAGAGTAGGTTAGAGAAGTTCACACACCAAATTCCCTATCAAGTCCTAAACATTTGAGGGGGAGGGGGGAAGGAAAAAAAAAAAGACGACAGGCTAGCTCTACCTTTGTAAGTTCCCTTTAAAAGTCTTTGGAAGGAAGCTCATTTCTTTTTTTCCATGCAAGAGCCCCAGTCATCTTCAAAGGTGCGGACTGATGGTTGTGTTTGATGGGTCAGAACATGGATGTGTTTTTTTGGTAAAGCAGAGGGTGTCTTGACTTCCACCAAGTATTGTAGCCTACGCCAGCTTTGTTTTCTTTTTCAGGTTTCATAAGCTGATCTGGGGTAACTTTGGAAATGGGTCCTCAGAGTCCTCTGGAGTTATCGTTGGTGGAGGGGATAATGGTGTACTGACAATGTACAGTGTGCATCGCGTCTTGGCATCAAAGAGCGAGCCTGTAATTGGGCAGACAGAGAAGCATTCAGGTCCTGTTCGAGCTCTTGATTTCAACCCTTTCCAGGTATGCAACATTAAACAACCAAATGAAAATTAACCTTTGCATTAAAAGAAAATGTTTTTCCCTCGTGTATAGGCATTTGTAAATTGAAGGAACAGTGTTTAAACTGAAAGAGGTGCAGCAGTTGTGACACAAGATTGGTTTGGGACTCAGGTTTGGGTTCTGTTGACAGCTTTACCACTGAATTCCCCTGTGATCTTGATCAAGTCTCTTGGCTCTCTGTAAAAACATGTCTTGTAATAATACTGTTATGTGTTAGACCATTACCCATTTGAAATCAGAACTTTGTGTGTTCATCTTGTATCTAATTCAGTGGGGCTGTGATCACATTTGGAAGGACTGCAGCACAAGTGATTACTGAACAGAACACAAGTTCCTGTGGTAGCACAAAGGCAAATTGAAAGTTGTCTGCAGATCCTTGTGGGAAGCCTATGTCTTCTCAGAAGAAATGTCTGGTGCTGGGATGCAGGGCAAAGGCTCAGCTGGCCAGAGACAGTGGGTTCCAGGCCAGTGGCAGAGTTTCATGATGGGTAACACCAGCCACCTGCACATGTAGCTTGCTAGACAAATTTTAAACAGGTCTGTGCCATGGCACAGATGAAGGCACTGAGGCCAGAAATGTGCTTGGTTTATAATGCGTTTTGTTATCTTTCTGCTTACTAGTGGCTGCGAATTGCAGCGCTCGTCTGACTGCAGAAGCTTTGGGTTTTTTTGCTTATGTTTATTTTGCAGAAATCTATCCTCTCTCCCTGTGAAACTCAGCTGAGCTGTTCTTTTTTTCTACAGAGTAACCTCTTGGCTTCTGGAGCCAATGATTCTGAAATTTTCATCTGGGACTTGAATAACTTCAGTGTGCCTATGACTCCAGGTGCTAAATCACAGGTAAACGAGTTTTCCTCTGGGCAACACCCCTGCAGTTTTATATCTCAATAGGCAAGGCAAAAAGATGTGAGGTGTGGAGTTATCCTGGTCTAGTCAGTCTGTGAAGGGAGAAAGACCTTGACATCTGTCAGGAGAAAGATGAATCAGAACTGACTGTACAGCTTCGTTCTGGGGAGGTGGAAAAAAAGGCAGTCTCTGGAAGGGTGCACTTTGCATGGATGGGTAAGCTTGTTGTCCCACAGAAGAGGTTCATCCATCCGGTGTGCAGTAAGCCAGTCTCACACACAGAGCCGAGGCAGCAGTTTATTTCATGTCGGCGCAGAAATGGGTGCTAGGCAGTAACTCTGCAAAGCTGGCACACCTGGTTGCAATCACATCGCGTATTTATACAGTTAAAAATGTTAGTTCTGCCTATCAGCCATACCCTCCTAACTATGACTGGTTAGTTCCTTCTTACTTCCGTTTAAAGATTCAGTGCACCTTAAATTTATTGCATATGCTCAGTGAGTAAGGGTCTTCATGTAGACAGGGGGTGTTTTAAGCACTGAAGGTGTGGTTTTCGCATTATGATGAGATAGTTCACTTCAGGGGCATCAATTTGAGGAATTTTGCTGATGCCCAAGGATGTCTGTGCCCTCATTTTGATGTCTGTTCCCTGGTTGTGGATTTGCAAGGATGCGCATACTCTTATCTTGAACTGTTTCCCTGTTCAGGGTTCCTCTGATCTGCCTTATCTCAGTACCCTGTAACAAATCCTCGAACAGTTAGTCGTCAAGCTCTCTGTGCATTTGAACGAAGTAACTGACCAGTTTATCTTGTGATCCAGATAGGGCATGTGTGATGGATTAGGAAGGCTTATTGGACTTTCTCTGAGGAATGAATTTACTTCAGGCTTTAGCCAAAGCTTTTCATATCTCGTGAAAGTAATATCCCTGGCAGAGCCAGTGGGCCGTGTAATGCATCTTGGCTATTACTCCCAGATAATGTTTCCTGAGTTTGAAGAGGAAGACACTTCTGATGCTGATTATGTTATTCAGGGCAATCAACTCTTCAAAGTGAGAAAATCATAATAAACTTGCCTAAAAGCAAGCCAAGTTTTTCCGCCAGTAAGCCTCCCCTTTGTCTCCTTGCCTATCTTCTGCATTGCAGTAGATACAGTAATGGCAATGAACGTTGGATGCTTCATCATTTTCCGTCTCGCTGCACTCCTAAAATGCTGCACAAAGTCATCTTTCCATTTAAGTTCATCCCAGGAGTCAGGGTAGAAGAATCTATGTTCTCTCCACTGCAGTTCTCTCTGCACTGATTTATGACTGATTTGGCCAATGCAGAATGCAGTACCTGCTCCCAAAATGCAAAGGTGCTTTTCCAGGTGACATTCCCCCACAGAATTTGACTGTCCACCGTACATTCTGAATAAAGGACTTTCCACGCTCCCTAGTCTTTCTGGTCAGTGCTGCTATTACCAGTTAGTTGGTCAGTGATTGAAGAGAGGAATCTCTATATCCTCGAATCGCTTAGTTAAGCTAGTGCAGAATCCTGTGATTAGTGTTCCCTCAACGTGGAAATAATGATGTGTGGCCTTTCCTATCTTGGCAGCCTCATGAAGACATCAGGGTGGTGTCCTGGAATCGGCAGGTGCAGCACATCCTGTCCTCCGCTCACCCCAGCGGCAAGGCTGTGGTTTGGGACCTCAGGAAGAATGAGCCTATCATCAAAGTCAGTGACCACAGCAACAGAGTGAGTGGAAGACGGAGTGTGATTCTGAGTGGCATACAACATGCCACATGTGACTGCAAAGCAGAGGCACAGACTCTTGGGATCAAATGTTTTTATTGTGGGGGCTGTTGGTGTTGGTTCTCTTGGAGCTGTAGCATCGAAGCACCTCTGTCTTTTTTTTCTCTAATGAAATGGAGACAGAAGACCCCTAGCTGTTCCTAAAATAAGGGCGCCCTTGCATTCAATTTCTATGTTCACAGCTCATTTATGAGAAGCCTCCTGCGTTTTAATCCTAGCTGTCTTACTAGATCAATTTTGAACTAGTCCTTCAACTTCTGTGTGGTCAACATTTTTTTTGCTGTGTAGAGAAGATAGAAATACTTGGCTACCACAGCAAGACATTGCTTTATGTCAAGCATTCTAGGCGAGTAAAGTGCAGAATGACATGGCTCTGGGCCATTTTTGCTATTGCCAGCTTACTTTGTTGCATTTTCAGCCTATGCTATTTTTGTCCCTAGATGCATTGCTCGGGAATGGCCTGGCATCCAGAAGTTGCAACCCAGCTAGTCCTTTCCTCTGAGGATGACCGCTTGCCAGTGATCCAAATATGGGACTTACGTTTTGCTACCTCTCCTTTGAGCCAGCTGGAAGGGCACACGAGGTAAGGGCCAGCTTGTGGTGTTGTGTTTTCAAGGATCTCCATCGTTAAAATGCAGACATCTGGGAGACTGGACTTAGGAGATGTATGATTTTCTTCTGGGCCTGCTTTGTTTCACAGATGAATCTGGCTGAGGGTAGAGATGAGAACTAGCATTTCTGAGCTTAAGCAGCATTTCTGCTGCTTACTTGGTGACAGGGTGGGTTAGTGGACTGGGTTTGGAATGTGACTGATTACTGATCTATTTTAGGGGAGTTCTCTCTGTCTCTTGGTGCCAGGCTGACCCTGAACTGCTGCTGAGTAGTGCCAAAGACAACCGGATCTTGTGCTGGAACCCAAGTATGGGGGAGGTATGTAACAACAGCTATAAGTACCCATGGTCTGCTTTCTACACAGTTGTGTGCTGTGCTATGTGTGTGTCCCTCCTCTGTATCCCTCTGGAGTGCCGATGTAATTCCCTGTGGTATGTCTGCTACACTCTTCCTGTCTGGAGCGAATGCGAGCCTTGTCCTTACCCAGACTGAAAACAACAGAGACAGGCAGAGATTTTCTCTGATATGTCTGTGTCCAGACATCATAGAGGGGAGAAAGCTTTAACTAAAACTTAGTTTCAGCTAATTATGATTCCTCTTGCTATGTTCGCATATGTAGTGTTCTCTGTGTCCATTTGTTTCTTCTTCCTTCTCCTAGGGTAGTAAGTTTTTTTTGGGGCGGAAACTTGAAGGAGGATGAGGAGCATTTGTTAAGGTCATTGAGAGTGGAGCAGTGTAATTAAATATGTGTGTAAGCTTTATTCATAGTACAGTGGTTTCACTTGTATGTGCTTCTCTAGTTATGTATCTCAAAATTACCATCTTTGAAATATTGTGGTGTCACCTGAATTAAAATAGGAGTGTGTGTAGAAGAAAAAAAAAATTACTGCACACCTATTCATTCAATGGTGAATTTCTGGCTAAAACTGAATTTTGAACTTTGAACTAAGTTAATGCAGTTGATCATGATGATAGCATGGGGGAAGTGCTCTGACAATACTGAACAAACTCCAGCTGGGAGCCCTGGGCTGGGTTCGCTTCATGGGACAATTTCACTTAGCTGACCATCTTTGTCTTGGAGGCTTGGAAAAAACTAATCTATTTTCATTAAATGCATGAAATGCTGCTGTTGTGGTTTCATGGGATTTGATGCTCACTCTGTACGGATGTCTAGCGTTTAGAAGAGAACCAGACTCTAAAAATGTTCCTGAAGTCTAATTTTTCCTAAAGTCTTTTCACTGTGTTTTAGAGGAAAAATTTAAAAAAATATTTTAATGCAGCTGGCTCATCTTTATGCATGCTGCTGTAGATTTGCAGAGTCCAAATTCAACTTGCACATTTATGCACAAGCTATTATTAGGAGGCTGTTCTTGACTTGGTACCAATGAACAGAAAATTTTCAGGTAATACAAAGATTGGGAAGGTTTTCAGTAGTAAGGACCGTACAGTTATACAGAACGGCTAATAGGCTGAGCTTGAGGAAAGGGCTGGTTTCTTTGTTTTTTGGATATTTGGAGGTCTTTTTGGTTGTTGGTGAGTTTGGGTTTGGGTTTTTTTTTTCTTCCTTTTAATTTAGCAATCCACATTTTAATACAAGAAAATGCAAGGTTTTATACCCAGGAACAGAAAACACAGATCGTGTTCCCACAGAGAAGGAAGCTGTGATTCTCTGTGCTTTGTGCCTGTGAGGCACAAAGCCTCTCTTCATTTTACAAACTGGAGGTTCAATGTCAAGGTTGTGTTAGTGAGTTGCCCAACATCCAGCAGGAAGTCTGTAACTGGGCCATGAATTGAACTTTGGGTATTTGAGTGCTGGACCAGAAACTTGTTGGCTGCAATATACTTCATCATTCATCAGCAGCTATTATGGTCCTCTTTTGTTCTAGTTTTTGCTGTAGGCTTTTATTTTTACTTGTCAAATCTGTTATACCAGACTATTCTTTCTGTTTACATGCTCATGACACCTTCTTGTCTTTTGGCGTCTGGTTTCCTGGTGGTGTTTTCTGGTGTGTCTCCTTTGGTTAACAGTGGGTGCAACAGTACTGACTTGTTACTCTTGCATTTTGTTCTGCAGTCAGAATCCTATGGTACAGCACCTTTCTGTGGCTTTCTGCTGCTTGGGCTCAATGCACTATAAATTGGTTGCAAATGCATCCTTTAAGACGCGAAAACAGGAGACTTCTGTACAATGGTGATGTGTAAATAAAGTGTGGCACACTTGCTGTGGGCAAGTAATTTGGGGAAAGCAGGGGACTATTCGTGTTGTGCTTCTGCCTTCTCTCTTTCTGTGATAGGTGGTTTATGAGTTGCCCATTCGGAGTCAGTGGTGCTTTGATGTCCAGTGGTGTCCTAGGAATCCTTCAGTCTTCTCTGCTGCCACGTTTGATGGGTGGATCAACATTTATTCTGTTATGGGTGGGAACTTAGAAGCTCAGCAGAAGACACAGGCTGACAAGGTAAAGTCCTGTGAATGTGTTATGGCTTGACAGATTGGCAATGACTCACCTGACTTCTGAGACCCCTAGAAGCACCCGTGTGTAACAGTATGATTTTTAAGTGATGCAGTCTGTCCCACCCACCAGGATGTGTAGCTGTGTGGTGTGGGAACCAGAAGCTACCTGTGTGGGGATTTAATATCCGCCAAGTCCCAAAGGGACTGCATTGCCTCTTGACAAAGGTGTCTCGGTATTTGTTGTAAAATTCATTGGAGTGTGTAAAGAGAACCAAGATCAAGTGTAGTTTTGACATTATGTATATTTTACAGTTGTTACTACTAGGCTAAAAATAAAGCAGCACACCTGTTAGAACAACAAGCTTGTCTTGTCATTAGGTTAAAATATGTTGATACTAATTAATACAACATGTTATTCTTTATTAGTTTAGAAGATAATTTTAAAGAGGAGCTTGTAAGCCATGATTAGCACTTTTCCTCAAGTCAATTGATTATAACTTGGAGCATGTTCGTATTTTGATACTGAAACCCATTATCTAGCCAATGAATAGATGGGCAAACTCTGAATAGATTAAATGTCAGTACTGTCTAAAATTTTAATTTTAATCTGGTGTCTAGTCTTTTAATTCCCTCCCTCTCTCCCAGCCAACAAATGCCTTACAATACAGATTTTAAGAGAATGCATATGAGCTGGCTTAAGTGTTATTTATATAGTCATTTACAGCTGATTGAGTTGAGTTTCATAGGATTTGCAAGAGAAAGAAAATACTTATCAAGCAACAGCTGTGGGAGATTAAGGATTTATTTAACCCCTTGGAGAATTTTCTTTCTGTGCATTCTTCATGTGCAGGTGCCACACTTCCACTCTTCAAAATTGGTGAACAGTAGGGTAGAATAACTCCTAGATAAATAGAATAACAAGTAAGAGCCAAAATAGGAGACAATGACAGTTATGGAGGCAGAGACTTCATGACCAAGAGGTCTCTTTGCTCTGGATTCCATGGTATCGGATCAGAAACTCTGCTGAAGACCTGGTGATTGATGTTACTGGTACCCTGGTAGTGTGTGTGTATTTTTTGAAGGATTAGGGTGATTGATCTGTTGGGTATAAGCTTTTCCTCCAGGAAATGCTCTTTCTTTGGAATTGGCTTCCTCTCAAGAAAGATTTGAAAGACAAAACTTGTCAGTCTTGCCTATGATTCTTTGTGTGGCAACCTTAGCTTGATGAGCCTTGCGATGCTTCGTTTCAGGTATGCTGGTCAGCTGTATTTTGGAGCTATACCCTATGGTCCAGTCAAACTTGAACAGGGTTATCGTTAGCAAGCAAAAAAAAAATCTATGCCAACAATGTTAAAAATTAAGAATGCTTGTGAACAGCATTGTATGTGTATGCTCACTGACTTCCTAAATGACAGAAATCCAGATCAGAGGCCACTTTTGACACTCTCTTGTCTAGGCAAGAAGGCCCAGATATTATTTCACCAGCCTCATCTAAGCTATAAAAGCTTGAAACAGTCCTTAAAACTAACCCCTTTGAAAGACCCCAGCAACCGAAAGGGAGTCAGCATTCCTTGGTGAGCAAAACAAGAAATAAGTTGGACAACTTTTGACCACATGTTGTCCCTGTCTTGCATAAAACAAGTAATTGTGTAACTCTTGTATTTATAAGCTGGGTGCTTGGCCAGGCAGTCTTTGTTAGGAAATTTGCATCTTGCTAAGGAAAAATTACTTGAAAATCTCTGAAGGTGAAGCTTTCTTGAGAAATAATCCCTGGAACTGTTTGGAAATATCGTTTCTTTCTCAGAGGGGCTTGGTGGTATTCCAGGAAGAAGTGCTGTAATAGCCTTTTTCTTCATCAGTGAGGAAAGTAACTGACTACTAAGCAATAGGTTTTTTGTGCTTACTGCATACAGAGAGGAATTGAATTATATCTTATTCCTTTCTTCATCTGATTCTAGATCTCCTCGTCCTTCAACAACCTGGATCCTTTTGGCACAGGACAGGTCCTTCCTCCTTTGCAGGTGCCAGAGCAAGTAGCTCAGACCACCTTGATTCCACCATTAAAAAAGCCACCCAAGTGGATTCGCAGACCTGTGGGGGTTTCATTTGCAGTAAGTGAATGGAGCATCCTTAGCTTAAAATGCAGTAGATGTGTCATTGTGTGACACAATTGTTTTCTTTTGCTAGATAAACCTTTTCATCTTCCTGTTGCTAGTTGTTTTAATGCCTGTCTAAGGTGCGATGTGGCGTTCTATGGAACAAAGCTCTTTTGCTCAACATTCAGATACGTTTCCAACAAGAAAGAGTCCCATAGCAGAGAGTGGGAGGTTATAAGTAAGGGTTAACAAAGCTAAGGAAGACTCATAAAAGCTGTCTTTGGGAGTGCATGTCACAGCCTGCATTCTCCTCTGATTTTCTCCTTCCTATCCAGGAAGGAGATCCTATCCTTCACCTCTTTGCTCCTAAATCAAAAGGCTGAATTGTTCTTTCAGCCTGTGGCTGGACTTGTTCTCTGCCTGTCTAGTGCCTGTCATTTGCATGATAGTTTTTATCATTGCAGCCCGCCTCTCCATGTCAGAAAAGAAAAAACAGTTCCAAATGGTACTTTTTCCTCTGTACCTCTCTGGCATTTGCGACTGGCTAGGCCTGAGAGCACACCTACAAGTGTCATAGTTCTCGTTCTTCAGCTGAGGGGCTTGTGAAGTGAACTCCCTCAATGTTCCTTCCATCCATACACGTAAAACTGTTTGGGTTCCTTGTGCTCACACCTGGAGCTTGAGTTCGCCTTGCTGAATGAAGAGCTAAGTGAGTTGCTTTTACCTTCGTTTGTAAGGATGCTTACTGTGTCTCCCTCTGTCTTTCTCAGTTTGGAGGAAAACTTATTTCCTTTGGTCTTACTAAAGCTCCTGGACAGCAGATGCAGCAGACTTACCCACACCAGGTATTCATCAGTCAAGTCACTACTGAAATGGAATTCCTGCTCCGATCCAGAGAACTGCAGATGGCCTTGCAGTCAGGGAACCTCCTTGATTACTGCCAGGGCAAGATCCTGACAGCCAAGTTGCCGTTTGATGAGAACCTTTGGAATTTCTTGAAGGTAGGTTGGCCGTGGTGAAACACAGAGGCCAGTTATTTATGGTCCTGGCATGTAGTGTGGTTGTTATGGTCCTCTCTAGCCCTTTATATTCCTGTTCTTTAAGATAGAAAGTGGAACTAAATAGGCTAGTTAGTTACTTGTCTAAAGAAAACTTTTTGCAGTTGAGGTCTTGGAGGTTCCCTTATTTTTCAGTAGGAATGGTGTTGTGAGTGGACTTGTTTGGGCTTCATGTCAAAGTGCTAAACGGGATTTTCTCATCTCAAACCACTGTCAAGCTGTATCTGCCTGCTATCTGTGGAGCCCTGCTGTTACTGTTTCTCAAGGCAAAGTCCAAATGGGCAATGCGATTCCCCAGTAATAAGGGAGAGAGCTGTGGTGGCATGAGGGCTGGCTGTAGCCCTACACAGGACGATGGTTTCATTGACAATTTGGTAATATGAGAGAGTTCAGTAATGAGGAGTGGCTGCCCTTCTGGAGGGGCAGGGCTTAGCCTTGATAGTCTTTTACAGACTCTTGGAGTCAGACTCTGTGTGTGGCGAAATACTGGGATCTTTTCCTTAGGATTACATTTGTGTGGGGAGTCATATCGCTCGAATAGGATGGCCAGGTGTTGCCTAGGTGGTGTCGGTAGTCTCCATTGCAAGGGTCATTGCAGCAGTGTCTTCAGCTGCATTGGATGAGATATGTCGAACGGTCATTTTAATGAATTTTTATAATTCAGTTGGCCCATGGTCCTGTGAGATCACTCCAGCACGTACAAGATGTATTACTATTGATAGTCTTAAACTACAAACCAAGCTTCTATACAAAAGACTTTCCTGTGTGACCATTTCTGCAGCTGCAAGAACAGTTTCTACTGACTGTTTACAAGTATCTTATCCATGTGCAGTTTGGTCAGTTCTGTAGTAGGAACAGCATGGGACTTACTGAGACAGACAGATTTTCCTGGCAGAATGTTAATCAGGCATTAAAGCATACAAATAGCACCTGCAAGTTATGCTGCTTGCAGCCTGTGGAAATCTCTGGGACTGTCTGAAATCCTCACCCAAGGAGCTTCTGTAACAATTAGTTAACTAATTTTGTGAAGCCATCTAGGAGTTCAGGCAGCCAGCTTGTCTCAGTTTCATCCGGACTCAAATCAGTCTGTTGCCTCTACACAGAGATTAGCTTGGCAATTCCTAGATCATCCAGGGAATTAATGACCAAGGACACTAAGTATGCGTACAGTCATAGCCCTGATATGCATTTGTACCTGAATTGTGACTCTGTGACAAGCATGAATTTCACCGTTTTATCATGATTGTAACTTGCATTCCATAGATTTTCCCACAGTAGTCATTAGGTGGACTTGTCATAGTTGACTGCATTATCTATAACCTGCGCTCTAAACTTTGCTGCTGCAGCCAGCCATTGGCAGTGTGTAGATGTCTAGGACTTTACATATTTTCTTGTCTTTTTCAATATCCTTTGGGATTCAGGTGAATCTGGAGCCGGAGTCCAGGACTAAACTCCTCAAGCTGCTGGGCTACAGTAAAGAGGATCTGCAAAAAAAGGTAAGGGGTCTTTCCAATAGAGGGAAACCTTTACAGGACTAAAGGTGCTCTAGGAGAGTTGTAGGGTCCCTAATGAAAATGAGTGAGTGATCTTACAGCACACAAAAGGCCAAACTGTATAAAATTTCAGCTGAGAGGCACCTCAAGTATCTCCCATTAAAAAGCGAATGTGGTATAACCAGCTGTACTGGATCAAACCAAAGGAGTCTTGAGCCCAGTTGTCTTGGTTCTAGTTGTTGGTGCTCTGGGAAGTGTATAACAACAGTGCAGTTGAGAGCTTCTTCTAGCATCCAGCTCTCTGCATCTCAGGGGATTCCTCAGCCAGGAAGAAGGTGACAGATGAAGACAATGTGGCGTAGAACTGATGGAGCTGCAAGGGAGGAAACTCTTGCAGCAGCACGGACAATGCTCTGAAAAGGATAAATAACCTCTGATAGGCAGCCAGCCAGCAGTAGGGAGAGGTGGAACTTTTCAAACAGGTGAAAGAGCCGGGGGAATTGTCTGGCGCTTGCCAGTCACTTGGTGGCTTTGCTGCCCAGCTGTTTAACTTTGATAGGGGCTTCACTTTGTGAATGTCTGTTACTTTTCTAGATCACCTCATGTTTGAATAATGGGATCCCAGATAAACAGCCCCTTCCCGAGGCGGATGAAACAAGTGCTGCACAGCCAGATCAGGTATGTCCTGTACATCTTGCCGATCTGGGAGAGCAGTGGAGAACAGAATGAACAGGAAGGTTTAATCCAACCACAAGTTGTTGGGCTCAATGCAGGCATCACAGAGGGCAGTTCGCAGGACTGTCCAACCTCACAGAGTCAGACTAAGTGATGATAGCAGTGCCTGGTTTAAAACAAATCAGCAAATGAGGAAGACAAACTCCTGGCTGTTAACACTGCAAGAAGGCTTGCTTCACCAGTGCCGATTTCGTCAGTGATAGGATTAGCATCACCCCACCTTAACTTCATGCTACAGTTCTGGATTTCCTCTGTGAAGCTTCTGCTGTGGTATTTCTTTTGCATTTGTTTCCTTTTCATCTCTATCATTTGAAATGTATTCTCACGTGATTTTGGTATGTCCATCTTCAGATGCCTTCCAAGGCCTGGTTCACCATGCACTGTAAATTTTGCTCTTCTAAGGTATCTAAAACTGCTATCCTCAAATTAGTGATCTTCACAAACCTTAAATGCTTGCTGAGATAGTCTAGGGACAGCAATTGTGTCCTGCATTGCAATAGAGCACCAAGCATGGCTGTGATCCTAGCTGTTAGCTACGGATACCAGTTGTTCGGCTTGTCTCTATTCTGTCCAGAATTATTCAGCTTGCTCAAGGGCTGACAGTTGAGTTGATCAATGCTGGCCAGTGATACCGTTGGCATTGCATGTCTTATACCATCAGTCTCCTAAGCTTTGTCAATAGCAGCACTGCTCTCAGTGCTGCCCTGGGAAACTGTGCAGGTTGACAGAGCAGTGACAGGAGGCATGATGGGTTTCCAAGTTGAAATCAGATTTGTATGAGCATGCTTAAGCAAGTGGAGAGCAGCCCCATCCCACTCAGTAATCCATTAAACTGTTTTAGGCGGGATCTATGTGTTCAATTAATTAATTGACCTCTTGCACTCTCTTCACAGCTTTTGATAAATTCCAGTGATGATGTAGCTGCTGTTTCCTCCTCTTCAGCCTTTTTTGACAGCCTTGTCCCACAGAATATGAACACATTGGAGATTCCTGTCACAGGAGGTATGTTACATGAAATGTGTTTCTGCCCTCTTAGGAAAAGGGGAGCGGAGGGAAGACCAGAAAATTAGAGATACTGGGAAGAATCTGGTCCGCTCCAGCAGATGGATACTTTTTGAACACATGACCCATCCCAGTGTCATGCAATATCTCTCAGCGTTGTGCAAGGAAATACTCTTCAGAGATAAGAAACCCATTAAAAGTATAGAATAATGGTGTAGAGGATAGAAGACTTACTGTCAAGCCAGTGGTTTTTTTTTTAAAGTGCAAAACCTGATTTGGGTTTCCAAATCTTCTTTTAGCTGGGCTTCTATATGTTATTGTTTTCTTACTGTCTGCTCTTTAAAATGAGCATCATCAATGCATCTGGATGGTGCCCCTGTGGTTTAACTCTGCTTTTCACCTCTGTAGATACGGATGGACTCATCAGCCAAGCCCTTTTGCTGGGGAATTTCCGGGGCGCAGTGGAGCTGTGCATGCGGGCAGAGCGCTTTGCAGATGCCATCATCTTAGCTATAGCTGGTGGGGAGAACCTCCTAAAGGAGACCCAGAAGCGCTACTTTGCCAAGCATAAGACAAAACTCTCCCTGGTAAGTGACAGTTTTGTGTACCTACTGAGCAGGGGAAGGCGTGTGATACCTTGGCAGACGTTTGTCCAAATATGTGTGGAAATGCTGTAGCAGGAAGTAGAATGGCAGCAGAATCTGTGCATATTCTCTTGGCTAGACGTTTACTCAAATCTCTTGGCAGTTTTATGACAAATTCATGTTGCCCACCTAGAATATGTGTGTTCTCTGTTCCTTTTTTTCTTTTAGTATAATGGTTTCTGCCTCAGCTCCCTATGCTTGTAACCTGTGGCGCATACTGACCCTTTACAGTTCAGCTGGGAAGGTCATAGCTCATTAATTGACAAAGGAGGAACTGTAACAAGGGTTGGGATATCCTAACACTGTATTCCCAGTCATACTAGCTAGTCATTCCTAGTCATACTAGCTGCTCTGAAACAGAATATGTGTTAGATGGATCTTTAGTCTTGCCTAGTGTGGCTGTTGCCATATTCTCTTAAGTGCTTTGTTGGGCTTTTTGACTTTCTTTGGAGGCATCGGGTTCCAGTTACCATAAACATTATGATACTGAGACTGGTGGACCTTAATGTACAGTGAGGTAGTTGCTGCATAGTGAGAAGTGTGCCTGAAAGTGAGCTATCCCTGTGGGTGCACTTGCTTAAGCAGTCAGCTTATCTTTGTCTTCAGTGACTGAAAGGCCTTCTGCTTCCCTTACAGCTGCTTTCCTCCATTGTGCAGCAGAACTGGAAAGATATTGTTTGCAGTTGTGATCTACAGAGCTGGAAGGAGGCACTGGCCATCTTGTTAACCTACTCAAAGCATGAGGACTACACCCAGCTTTGTGGTATGCAGCGTACTATGTTTTGATATGATTTCCCTTAGAGGAACGCAACTCTGTACAGCTTACAGAAAAAAGTGGATACTGTTGAGGAAGAAAGCAGTCCTTACTCGTTACAGCTAGCTGGAACTTATTAAATAGGTGTGCACTGTTGAGTTAGGAGAACTATACTCACACCGTAGCGGAGAGTCATAGTGTAAGGTTACATATGCTGATATTTCCTGTCACCTCTACCAACAGCATGGAAAAAAAACAGGATAGGCACTAGACTGAGACAACAAGAGGGTGATATTTAGTATTTTATTCTGGGGAGAAAGGGATTTCCTTGACAGTAAAAGCTCAGGTGGCTTCACTCCGTCTGAAAGAGGTTTACCATTCCAGCATATTCCCTTTCCTTTTAAGCTCAGAAACAGAAGTTAATGAATGTTTGATGGCTTCAGTAATTTCCTCAGTCTTTTCAGTAGTCCAGCATGCTCAGCAGCTGGTTGTTCTGAGAGTCAGACTTTAGGGACAATCTAGTGACTGAATCTGATGAAGTTACTCGTGTTGCTTAGGTGGGAACTAGCCCCTGGCTGATGGGAACAGCCAAGTGCTGTTGGAGAAATGCCAGCTCTTTATACAAGTAGGATGATGCAACCTGAAATGCAAGAGAACATGACATCTTTTACAGACCAAATTGCAGGCGTGGAAAGTGGCGGTGGCGATGGCGATGGTGAGATAGCTCCAGCTCACTTTCGTCTCCTAGCATTTGCTAAACATTGACAACTGCCAAATTACTAGCTGTCCCTGGTACTGTTGCCTGGGGATTCCCACACCTCTTTGGAAAAAAAAATAAGCATTGGATTTTTTCACTGAATTCATCTGTCATTTTTAGGGGGTTTTCATTTTTTTATATTTCTGGGCAGACATAAATATTGGCAGATGTATAAAAAATTACTTCTTTTTTCAACCCAGTTGTCTTTGGGATTCCATAGTGATGCCCATTTCTCTATGTTATCCAAGAATTAGGTGGAGATCCAAAGCTGTCAACACCTTTTCATGCCAAGCCAGAGAAGGATTGATTGCTAAGAGATGAGCATTGGGGTTAATGAGCTCTTCAGAAAGAGAGCGTGCTAAATGTTGGCTGTATTGCTTCCTCTCTAGACATGCTGGGTGCCCGTCTAGAGTCGGAGGGAGATGCAGCCCTGTCCAATGATGCCTGCCTCTGCTATATCTCATCAGGCAATGTGGAGAGGTTGGTGGAATGCTGGGTAAAAAACCATGAGACTTCATCACCACTTGCCCTGCAGGTACAGGTGCTATAATGTTGGTTTGACTCCTCTTTAGGCCAGTCTGGTAGCCCTGATCTGTTTTCATTGTCCCATCAAACAGAGTATCTGGCTTCCAGCAGACAGTCGAATCCTGTTTGTAGTCGCCAAGGTATCTCCTTCTAGGCTGGATTACGAGCTTACATCTAAAGAAGGCTTGTACCCTTAAACATTAAGGGTTTGTGTGTTTAGAGAGTACGGATTACCTGGCACATAAATCCAGCCATGGACAAGAGTTACGGCCTGCCCGCCTATCTTTGCGTACCGATACAATCTCTGAGCTTCCTTTTAGTCAGGGAAGTTTCGACTGTACCTGTTTTCTTATTGGTAATCACCTGGGAGTACATTTGCTGCTGCACTTATCATGTCTAACTGTAATGCTCCAGTTATCTGGCTGTACCTTCAGAACAGCCTCTGGCAAAATAAAATAACATCTAGACTGTTTTATTCCCCCTGCGAGTAGAATGATCATGAATGGGAAGTCGTAGCTTGCAGATGAATTAGGGTTTCCAAGCCAGTGTTTTACCTGCCTGTTACACTTAAACAGGTTCTGGCTAGGTCACTAACCCCTGTTGTGTCCACTAGTTGCTAGAATGAACTAGACAAGTCTTCTACTTGGGTGTCTGCACATATTGCCCTCTGCTACGGAGTTCCCTGGTTTTGAAACCCCGCTAGTGAATAACAGCAACAAAAAGGCATCTTCAGCATTCCTGGTGGTGTTTGAAATGGGCCTCCTCCCAGTTATCAGCTAACGATGCATGTATCGTTCTACAGATATAAATGTTACTTTGATTTCTAGGAGGTGAAGGAGCTTTGAATAACTGTTTGTCAGCAGTATGAGTTTTTTCTGGTGAATATTTCCTGATACGATTTTAATCCTTCCTCTTCTGAGCTGGTAGCTTGTAACTCCTGGAGTTACAGTAGTAACTTCCTAGTAAAAAGATCACAGTTGATTGGAACGTCCTTGTGGCGTCTAATTTTATTTTTTCCCTTACCATACAAGTAGCAGTGTCAGAGTTTGCTTCCTGGTTCCTGTTTTTCTCCACAAAGCGCACCTGAGGAAACAGTAATCAGTGGTAGTATCTGGTAGAGAGTGGAGTAACTTCTGTTGACAGTGGACCAGATGTCAGTTGAAAGTGGGGAAAGCCATCTGGTATTGTCTCACCATGAGATGGACCAGTAAAGCAAGTCAGATTCCAAGTGGTCTGTTTCTTCCCTCCCCCTGTCTTATTCAGGATCTCATAGAGAAGGTGATGGTGCTGAGCAGGTCCATTGAGATGCTCCGAGGCACAGCAGGACCAGAACCAGGCCCTGTCTTGGCAGAACGAGTCACCCAATATGCCAGTCTCCTGGCATCACAAGGATGCTTGGCAGCCGCAATGAATTACCTACCCAACAGCTCT